ATATATGTAGGTGCTATTCTCCCCTTCTCTGTACAGTATACAATTTTGGAATCTCTACATGTTAAGTAAGGGTCTGTTCATTATGCAGTCCATCGATATGTCGACACAGTAAAACTGACTGAAGATTTAGGGACAAAATAATTTCTATGAAACAATTACCGGGCTCGATATTTTTCCTAGCGCCGACGTGATATAAGCACACTACAGTCCAGGACCTGGTTTTGGCAAATCCAGTGGTCTGTGTGTTGTAGCATAATGTGAACGGGGCCTAAGACATAGCTATTGACAATTCGAATGAATAGATTGGCACAACTAGCTAATGGAATGTAAGCCATCTATGCACCGGCAGCTTCCACAATGAAATTCCGGTAATAGATCAATGTATGTGTGTGTGATCAATATGTGCCTACAATCACATGTGCCTAACATTCTATCTAGTAAGTATTCGACAGACACGTGGATTAAACAGGTCATTCCCAATATAAGATTGTTAGTACTCTGTACAAAGTTTTGACCTTGATGTGGAAATGAAAATATTTTTTTGAAAATACATAATTTTTATCAACGAAAACCCAGCTGATTTTTTTTAAAGGTGACCTCTAATGGACCAAAATACCCACATGAAGAAACCCTTCGGCACCCACACAAGTCCTTTTAATTAACGAAAATAAAATATTATTTTCCGTTTGAATTTTGTATCACAAACGCTCTGCTACAATGATTCCTTCTCATAAACAGGCTGAAACAGCTGACGAACTTTAGGCTTTAAAAGTATTTTATAGACAATAAGATGTATGGGAGTCGTATGCTTCGGCACAAATTGGCCAGTTCAACCGGAATGATACCACGGCCTCATAGGAAACCGGCGTAAAATGTTTAAGCTATGTTGTGCCGTTTAAGTGATGCTACCTGAAACGCAATTGTACCCCCTCCCATACCCAATCCCCAAATACCTAATCTCTAAACCCAAAACTGTCGGCAACGCACTTGTGACCCCTCTGGTGTTACGAGCATCTATAAGTGGCACCGATTGCATACCATCAGGTGATCCGTGTGCTCATTTGCCACCGAATCCAATAAAAAAACTGTATTTTAACAGACATTCTTAATTATCAAATATTCATAGTAGAAATCTTTATATAAGTGAGGCCGGGAATGGCTCGGCAGTGAATTACCGTGAAGTTCTGCTGCCTGAATATCTACTCGAATACTCTGTGAATTGACTCTGAAATATCCAACAAAACGCACTAGTGTACGTGCAATACCATTTCATGAATACGTTTTTAATTTCGCATGCTATAACAAAGCGATGTTTAAAAAATCTTTGATATGTATTTATTTTGTACTTATTTTTTTTCTTTTTGGCAGCCAATTTATAAATTGATTGATTCAGTTTAAAACACTTAAATCCTTATATTAATTATTAACACGCGCGCGTTGTGATATTTAAACATAATTAAATTTTAAATTTTGGCCTATTCATTTACTTACCACAAATCATCATCAACAATTTCACTATAAAATATTATTCGAGTTAACACGAGTCAAACTATTTAGATAATTAAAAACAATAACCATGCATAAAACCATAAAATATAATATTATAAAAACAAACTAATTAAGTGATATTTTATACGAGCTAAAAGTTGTTTCAATAGATGCCTACCTATCACATTCGATAGTCCAAACTAATCAATTTCAGTAAACCGGATTACTGATTTCATAATGTATAAATTGAATTACGTAAAGCTTTCATCTCGCCACGTGTATGTTAACTTGATTCAATATACACGGAGTTATTGGTGCATTTGGATTATACTATTTCTAAACAGGTGAAGGTCAACAAATAAACAATTCAATGACTAAACATTATTTTCGTCCAGTAGAGCTTAAATGGCAATCTGGTGATCATTACTGAAAAGTTCAAAGAAAAAGGCCATTCACTTTTTCCTCCAATCCAACAAACTTTATTATACGTCAAAGAGTAACAATTTAACTTGAATAAATGGGTCGCGGAGTGGTTAGCAGCGCGCTGTTACAAGTTTTTACGTCTTATCTTGATAAAATGCAAATCGCTACCTGAAAACTGAAAACATGTCGTCGCTACGGTCATTAAGAAGTTTATACCGCTCAATGTATAAACAATCCGGCCACATGACGGAAATATGAAGAAGCATATTCGATTAATTAGCAGAATTTTTGTTTGCATATTGCTTCCATATTGCCGAGTGCCGTAGCCAAACGCTATTTTTGCGCTCTTCTAAAATCAGATTCCCGGTGTCTGATTAAAGCCTCGGAAGCCGGCTAGGTCGGTATCCAGCGGATCTATATGGAATGAAGTGTGACCTTCTCTTGAAGTAGAAAGTGTTAGTAGATTAATTTCACCTCGTACCTTCGACACAGTTAAGGCGCTTAGATAGATACTAGAAACCGCAAAAATACCTTACGTACCGTTCAAGGCCAACGTCTAATCTAACGGTGAACTTTAAATCTTCAAAGCATCACAAATGACTGAAGGTTGCAAAAAATGTGATAATGTCTATCCGAAACAGATATATTTTAATTTAAGATTCAAGTTTTTTGTTGAAAATGAGGCCTAACAAGAGAAAAATTAAAAGTAAGCGTTACTTAAAGCGTTGTTCTGGGTCATTATAGAATAATAATATGTCTACTATGTATGTGTAGTTAAAAATTCTGGACATGTTAGAGTGCCTTGTCTCGATTGTACATGATGGCGTTGCGAAATAGGTCGAAGCCGTTTGCGTTCTTCTATCTCAATCATTAGACTTAAGTAAAGAATGGGTGATTACAAATAAAACAATTTTATAATGTTGATATTTATTAAAGTAGAGAGTGAGTTTTTTTTTTAAATAGATGCTGTCTAGTTGGTAGTTTCCGTCGACAGTACAGTAACTGTGACTGTTCAAGCGCACGTAACTACTGAGAAAGCGTCTCAGGTCGAAATCCCAGGTAAGGAAGGAAGAATTATTTTTAAAATTTTGCATCTAATTTATTTACACGTGCCCATTCCTTCGGCTTATAAAAGACATGACGTTGTTATGTTAAAAGATTCGATTGCGAGTCTGTGGGAGTTGATCGAGATTAACTAACATTTTATCAATGAATAAAAATACCTCATTAATCTCGTCTGGAGAACCAAAATATAACCACGAATCAATATCGTCTTGACAACGACGAATAAAGACATGATATCAAGTATGGAAGTTATTTATAATTTGGATCTGTTTTTCCGTTTGCACAGATACAAGAAAGAACCAAATCACCAAGCCAGACTAATTTCGAGAGAGCACCCTTTTTGTGGAATCGGAGACAAACGAGCAGACGGAACACCTTATGGTAAATAAACAGCCCCGCCCTTGGACACCCGCAACACCAGAGGAACCACAAGTGCTTTGTCGGTGGTAAAAAAAAACTAAAAGAACATGTGGATGCGAATAACACCGGCTTATTTACCCTTAAAAAATTACCCTAAAATTTCACACCCGACGCAATAAAGTCTATTTATAGCATTAATAAGTACCTGATACAATAACCTTGATTCGATAATTTGTTACATATGTTTGTCGAAATTGGTTCCGAAAGTTATATACAATTACTTGTTCAGTGTAATAATTAGGTACTTGAAAACAGCGGAACAATTCTATATAACATTGTTAAATGATGAGTGTGTTTCGTAATAATCGTTAAAATTTATTATTAAACAACAACCGAAGCTCCAAAGAGGTTAATTAGCTTTTGCAAAGTTTATGCTATTAATAGAACTACTCATTATTGCAGAATATATCTAATTATAGGAACCCTTGAAACACTCGTGTCCGCAAATAGACGTACTCCTCCTTTATTTTCAATGCCACTTGCATATCGTTGATGCACAACAGCGGGATGGAAAGTAGGTGATGTATAAAAAGACCTTACGTAAACTTTCTGCCGTCTGTCCGCTGCTAAAGCGCCACAATCTTTAATAATAGATGTTGTTGGTATACAATAATAGTAAATTGCATAATAATAAATTTATAATTTCAGGTCTGCAAACATTGAATCAGTCTATTACAGCCGACTACCTGATTTAATAACCAAATTGAACCTACGTTGAACGCTAGGTACCTGACCTAGCGTTCAACAGCGGGCACCGACCTCATTCACAATGTGCACGCTATTAAATATGACTTCATGTTGTTCTCGTTATAGGAAATATGTACCTACATTTCGAGAGAACAATTGCCGTTTTTATGTAGTTGTAGGTACCCTACAGAACCAGCTAATAATGATGAAATTAGTTGATTCAAAACAATAGGACAAACAGTACTGTTGAAGTCTGGAATTTAGAGAGTGTTTAGTTTTCCAGGGTCAGAAAGCACGTCAAGCATTTGATCACCGGTGTCATACTTATACATAACAAATGTCAATCGTTACGTCCGATCAGAAACCCTAAACATCGATCAATGAGACTACCAAGGTTTTTGTCACTGCAGATTGTTTTAGTCACTCCATATAATTACTTCTTAACGTAAAAGAATCAGGTTATATCTTATATAATACAAATTTAACCTCTGGAAATTCAGCTCTCGTAAAATATATATAGTTTAGATAAGATACATTTTATATTTATCATTGGACATATAACGTCGTTCGGGGTGAGAACATAGGCACATTGTAATTATTACGTACGGTTGCGTAATTCGTAACTTTAACTGAACAAGCTACAAATTAAAATGATTTACAATCGGGTTGCAACACATTCTAAATAAATTCCAGTCGTGTTTCATTTGTTTGCGATTGATATATTTTGTTGCAATTTTGTTTACTGAAATAAATTGATGTTCTCGATAGGATATAAGGATATTTAAGGTCGTTTTGTTTCATATATTATTAAGTAAACATCTTAAGTCCATTCTCACCCGAAATTAAGCTGCTAGTAGATACTAATAGTACCTAAATAGAATTTAGAGACATAAAATAATTGTAATTAATATACATACAAGCCTGTCCGTTCTTGTCCAACATTCTTGAGTGTGTCAAGCATCAGAATGGCATGTTTGCGGTCCTCAAGCAGCGTGTCGCGCTTCTCACTGTTCAGAGATAAAGCCATCATCAACCGGCTTGACTGGTAACGTTGTTCTTTCAACCTGAAAAATGCATTAACAGTACCGTAGCAAACAAAATAAATACAAATGCAAAGTAAATGGTACATTCAATTTAAATATGTAAAGCACCTGGCGAAAGGTTAACTTCAGAATAAAAGAAACAAGTTCAATGATTTGTTCACGCAGAAACTGAACATTAACGTGGCACCAATGAGTTTTGCCACCATAATCTCCTGTGAAAGCGGGTCGACTTGGCTATTTAGTTTAGCCGAACCATCAAACAATGTCGTTTTCAAATGTTAACCTATGTTACCTCAAAAAATAGGTTAGTATAATAGATACGAGGTTTATGTAGTAATTTTGGATTATCTGGCGAATATAGCTCATATATCGCCACAAAATAATTGTTTCAATTTGACAACTTGTTATATGTGTACTTTAATTAACGTATGGAGTGCAACATAGACTTGAGTGAGAAATGTGCAATTAGGTCTTCTATTTTATAAGTTTAAATAATGTATAATATGACTTATGTACATCATTTATGTACACGTGTCGCCAATATGTACAGGGAAAATGATTATTAAACTGCGACACTGAAAGACCATTTGACAAAGCGGACACTAAATATCTCGTCTCTGTGAATACTAATAGCCCCCACTCTGCGAGTGCTCGGTTAATAGTATTAAGTTCGATCTCGATAAGCCTTCGCTCAAACCATTAGACCTATGCAACATTATACTACCAATAAGAAATACAATTCTCATTATATCACTAGATTCACTTACCTTAGGAGTATTTGATCAAACGAAGAAACTAGAGTAGCTTTCTGTAAACGTTTGCAAATCCTCATAACTTCGTCAAGCTCCCAATGTAAAGAATGATGACTGCCAACCTCTTCATCTTCATATAAGTCGTCGAGGTTTGTGGCTTCCTATTAACACATGTATTGTGCCTGGGTAAACGACTGTTCATAACTTTGCACGCTAATTAAACTTTGACGCACCTCGCAAATAAATAATGCTCGCTCGAAACATTCGCGTTAGCAGATCATTAAGGATTTAGAGACATAAAGAGAAAAGGGCAGTCGTCGAAACCTGACTTTCCCACTACCTACACATCAATCTGCATTCGTATAATCGTATTATGTACCCTGTCATGTTCGACTCTAAAATCAACATTGGCTCTCGAAGACTGTCAATACTTAATGTCGGTGCTGCTTATGCTAATATGTAGGAATCACGTACTGGATTGTTAATTGGATTAAATTTGGTATATTGTTATGTAAACACTGTGTACTAACGATAAATTCATTGTCTGTACAGTCATCGTCAAATAGGTATCTGCCTACCTACCTATTTAAATTCATGTTACGGAAACAAATAGATGTAACCAAAAGGTTAATAATACTAACGATGTAAAGTTATTAAGGTACCTCAAAAATTTGAGACGCGGTAGCATACCGGGTAAAACGGGGTGAATAGATATTAGGAAATTTTTCATTGTTTCTATTCACCCCTCGAATTCACCTACTTACCCCGTTTTACCGTATTCTAAATGTTCTGAGTTGTTCTTGTCTCTGTGAATATGTCTGGTACCTACTGTCGATAACTATATACTGGTACGTCTATTTACAAAATTTCCCTAACCATTTAACATGGACTGTACAACGTACACATTAATGTGAAAATGAAGCAATGTATGAAACAACACATTTGTAAACTACACCGGGATCGATAGCAATCGAAAAATCTAAACAACCTTTCCAGATGTAGAGTTGTATAAATGTGTATCAAGAAATAAGAGAACCTGATGCTTTTCGAATGAGAGAGTAAACCAAGTGAGCATCGATGCGGTTAGTAAACCGATTACCTTGAGTAAATATGTAGTTTGTTTTATTTACCTCTTTCCTTATGAGACTAGGAAATGAATCTGTCAAATACGCGACTTCACGGCGAGCCAACTTCAGCGTCCTTTCTCGTTCCTTCATGTTGGCTTTGATCTCGCGTTCTAATTTATTGTATTCGTACTTTCTATCGTCAAGGTATTCCATGGCAAGTTGACCCATTTCGGTGGCACCCATGAGACACTTGGCTTGTGCTCGGCAGTCAAGTTTCAGTGCTTCTAACACAACGGTAAAGTATGATGAATCCTGTCGAGATCAGTATTTTATTTATGTGTGTATTAGTGAGATATTAATCTATATATATAAAAGAAAGTCGTGTTAGTTACACCACTTATAACTCAAGAACGGTAGAATAGATTTGGCTGAAAATTGGTAGGTAGGTAGCTTAGAGCCAGGAGACCGACATAGGAATTTTTAACCAATTTTTAATTTTTTTTTTTACTTTTTACCGAAAATCACGAACGGGGACGGGAAAAAATGGGATTACGCGTACGAAGTCGCGGGCAGAAGCTAGTTTCTTATAGATTGAATAAACAAGGTAGGATTTTATTATACTTCATCAAGTTAAAAACAAAAAAGAATAAATTGATGACAACAAAGTGATACAATACACAGTAATGTGCAATTAACAGTGCATCATAATTGGCACCAACAAACAACACACGCCAATTAAGTATTATTTTTTTTACTTTGACACAAACAACGGAACAATATTGCGCCTCGTAAAAACAACTTACATTCTTTTTTATTAATTTCACTTGAATTCAATTGAAATAAAATCAGGTATATTGTTTCTCTCATACGAATATTTTGTAGCTGAAAGTTCAAAGTATACGAAGCGTAAAACTTAATTTCCTTTTATTTATTTGCTTCGTTTGTTTCACTGTAATATTTGAGTTGAGTGCCATGAATGCAAACAAATTACATACAAGTAAATATTTCTGTAGGTCCATTTTAAGGGCAACCTGAACTAAATAAATATAATTGCACCTTTTTTATACGATTGGTATAATTTTAATGATAATATTGTTTTTAGATAAGTACACGTTTTTGGAGGCACTCGCTTTATTATTGTATCACAAGAGGCCACTTTATATCGCAGTGTGCAAATCGGCGACTAACAGGGAATTATGGATGAGAAATACGCCTACTATTTTAAATCATAAAGGTCTTACCTTCTTTAATATGTCGAGAATTTTCTTATACATGACTTTGATGGCAAGGGCGGCATTTTTCTTAATATTGGCACGCTGTACGTAATTAGCCACAGCCTGCTCCTTCTTCTCCGGAGGCAACTTTCCGCCCACTTCGTATATGACTCGGTCTCTCATCTCAGCCGCTTCCAACTATCCGATAACAAAACATAATACGTATAAACAACTTTATTAAAATATACATGACACAAGAATAGAACCTGTCTACATATCCACATTAAAACATTGCTTCGTGGGTGGACGAAACATGATGGGCATGCGGTTTGCATTAAAAATAGCAAGACTGATATGATTGGGATCGGTGCGCAGTGTTAGGGTGCGTCCACATTTGGCGAATGTGCAATTCGCGAGTCGATTGCGAGCTGCCCGCGAGCAACGTGCGTATCGTCACGATAGTGGTTGTTGCATCTCTTTAGCGCAACTCATGCTGGGTATAAATAATGAATTTAAATGCACGCGCGCAGCTCGCAATCGGCTCGGGAGCTGCACATTTGCGGAGCATTCGCTAGGTGTAGACGCACCCTTAGGATTCTCTATTTACGTTATCGTCACACACTATGATTGTTTTGAACAACAACGTCACGGTTTTCAGCTAGCAAGATTTCATAGACTTTTGTTGAAAACGAAACGACATTGTAAAACAAGTAAAACTACAGGTTTATTAAGCTTAACAATGTGATTGTCTACATCTAGCCGTTTGACATTCCAAGGAAATCTTATCTTATACTTCTTGCTGAAGAGTTTGTTTGTTTGTTTGTTTGAAGGAGCTAATCTCAGGACGTACTGGTCCGATTTGAAAAATGCTCTGTCGTGATGGATAGTTCATTTATCGAGAAAGATATTAGGCTACAAACTATTACGCTATGATCAATAGGCGCTGACTAGAGCAGGTGAAGCCGCGCGGAAGTGGCCGGTACTATTATATGAAGCTAAAACGTTTGTTCGTTTGAGCGCTAGTGTTGCAACTCAAGAGTATCAAATTTCACAATACCAATGTTGATCGATCGGAATTGAATTCAAAAGTAAGCACGCATCCTGGTGCGATTTGAAAAAATATTTTTGTGTTAGATACTCCTTTTATCAAGAAAGGCTATAGGTTATAAAGCATGTTCAATAAGTTCCAAGCAGAGCGGGTAAAACCGCATGGAAGTGGCTAGTCTGAAATAAAGCTTCCGAGTGATATTATTTACCTGCGTAAACCTTTGTTAAAGCGACGCTGCAAAATTTCAATTTATTCGAAGTATTGAAAATATATTCCATTGAAATACTCCCACTTCACGGAATATTCACATTTTCAACTTTGTACTTTAATTCTCAAAGGAGTTTATTTTTAGGTTGTAACTATGTATGAACACGATTTATTGTAGAGGACTTGATTTAAACCTTATTCTGGTATTGTCTTCATGGGATGGGGTTGACTCTGAGTCTAAATCAAATGACCACATACTTTAAATACTTTATTAAAAGAAAACAACAGCGAATTATTCTCCAAAGCTGATGTGCGGCACCTAACTACTTAATATATTTTAAATTATATCTAAAGCTAGAGGCACTTATTATTTACGTCATCACGACATCTATATGTACATATAATAAAGCTTTTTTTTTTTTTTTTTAAGGGGGGAAAATCATCGAATGACTGCTCCCGCCTGGGTGAGGCGGAAGGGAGTGTCAGACTCTTACTGACTAAAAACCACCCCGTTCCTTCTCCTGCACGTCGAGCCGGAGCCCCGGTTACCCGTTAGGTTCTCCGCGACATATATAATAAAGCTAAAGAGGTTCGAAAGTCTATATTAGAAGTTACTCGAATAAAAATTGTTTGGGGTACCTAAAATTTGATCCAACGTTCCCACAACTTTTAGAATTTTTATCTACTTATATGTTTATTTGATGATTTTTAAATGGAGATAATTGAAGGCATGGGAAGTGATGTACCTACCTGCCTACTTTTATTCCCCTTCTAACCCCCCACTAAATGAGAAGTGGAAGTTTGTATGGAAAACTCTGCGATTTTCAAGGTTGAAAGCTAAAAATTGGTTTGCAGTCCACATACCATAAATATCTTAAGCGTTGAAAAGTCATAACTAACGAAACAATCATGCATCTTTTTTTTGTAAATCTGTACCCAACTCCTTCAAAGAGGGGCTGAAATTTTATATGAAATATTTCGCAGTTCTCAAGGTAGGAAGCTAAAAATAGGTACACAGATTCTTTTGTTACCAATGATTTATTTTTATAAACATCTTCCCTGAGGGAACTTCCCTCAGTCCTTAAAACAGGGGTTGGAAAATGTGTATGACTTTTCGCAAAATTAATATGTACACGTTCTATGACACAAACTAATTAACACTAATATTTTCCTCATAAAGAGGAAAGAGTCTAACGGCATTTGTTACAATTGTTAAACTGTCAAACACCAAGCGGTCACCGGTGACCGCGACCTATTGTTCTTTAATTGTGTCTATAAAACCGGTACTCGACGAGTTAAATACCTTGGGAAATACTAATTCAAAGACCTTAGTTCTTCCAGAAATCATTATTCTACGTAGACGAAACCGCGGGCAACAACTAGTTTCAAATATTCTTATATCCAAATACTCAAACGCCACTCCATTTTAAGTAGCCTTCAAGTATCCCGAGCGTACGGCGCGTCGCGTTCCGCACGCGCCTCAAAGAGCCATCAGACCACCACAGATGGGGCTCATTAGGGCCGATGCCGATTCGGAGTCGCGGAGAACCTAACGGGTAACCGGGGCTCTGGCTCGACGTGCAGGAGAAGGAACGGGGTGGTTTTTAGTCAGTAAGAGTCTGACACTCCCTTCCGCCTCACCCAGGCGGGAGCAGTCATTCGATGATTTTCCCCCCTTAAAAAAAATAAATAAATAAAAAAAAAGCCTTCAAGTATAGTTCTGTCTCTACAAATTCTTTGCAAAATGACAGAGATGGCAAGATATTTAAGTACAACTTTAAATTGGGTCTTTCAGTGTTTGGGCGTAAGTGAAATATATTGATACATATAATTAGTACATTATTCCGTGGAAAAGATGCAAGATCAACTAATAAAAAATATGTAAAGCAAAGATAAATTTATGAAGCGTTCCAGCTCTCATTTCGGACGGCCTACGCTTGGAACGACCCAAAATAATAACTTATTCATTCAACAGTTCCTGAAATAAACATTTGCAATGCACTGCTTGCTTCCCATTTATACTTTCAATAATAAACAATATCAAAACATTTAATCTGGGATAATATTATGTGATTATTTTACATTGCTTGGGACAGCAACATATTTTGTGAATGTATACAAAAAAAATTGCTGTAAAAGATAAATAATATCAGTTCACAAAATAATTGTGCCACATGGACGATTTCCAAACTGAAGCTGCAAATGCTTAGATTATTTTTGTTGTAAAACAAAATGGGCACGGAAGTCTTAGGGTGTGAGAGGGAGACAGAGAGTGGATATCAATATTATGGTTACGTAACTTGCAGTTGTGGGACATTGGGTGTCCGAGTAACACGCTACATTGAAAAAAGGAAAGATTAATGTCAAAGTAAGTTCCTAACTATAAAAATCTGAATTATTTAACTCTGCCCTTTAAGCTAAATTGGAACGAAATGTTTTATACTACCATGTCATGTAAGGTGAAAATTGAAATAGCCATTGCTACCGTACTTTAGTTTTTGCATTTTATCTTACGATAGTCAACCCACGCATTTTATCCAAGATATAGAATTATACGAAATTTTTATTATTTTCAAGAAACAAGAGAAAATAAAAAGACGCTTGTAATTTCTTCCAATTCTTTCCATGTTGCAGCACGAATGAGCCGGCCCTGGTGTGAACTCACGCTTCGTTGTGTTTTAACTTCTCAGTGAGGTATTGTTAACTAGAGACCCAATCCTCCCTCAATCTCTAAAAGGCCGGCAAGGCATTTGAAACTCGTTTGGTGTCGCGGCGTCGATTGCTTGCCACCAGGTAAACCGGTATGTTCGTTTGCCATCCCGTCCCATAAAACAAAATTGATTAAAACAGCAGCATAAGTGTATGAGTAAGCGGATACCTGAGCCAGACGAAATCTCTCCATCTTCTTTTTCTTCGTATATCTGATTCTGTCCAGCTGTTTCCTTTTATTGAAATTTTCTTGATGAATGCTCTCCAGCACTTTCTGAAATAACATTCATAATTTCTGATAATATTAACTATAATTTCGCGTAAATTATAATGATTTTTTTAAGAACAGTGTTCTCACTGTTCTTAAAAAAATCAAAAATCTCAAATCTGTTCTCAAAAATTAGATTTCTATCTAAATAGCTGTCGGTTCACCGCATAACAAAACTTCGACTCAAAACAAGAAAGGTTTTAAATACGCCTCTGTCTGCATATTTTGGGAACAACGTGATGTTACGGGAAATAATCTTGTAAGACTACCAAATCGTAGTTATCTGTATTAATTTTGGTAAAATAAATCAACCGTTCACATGTGAATCTATTTCAGTCATTATTATTAATAAATAAACTGAGTTTATCCCGAACATCCATATGTTTGCATGAGAGTTGGGATAAGCTGAAGATGCCCTGGGGATCTACTGATCCGAGTACAATCACTCATTCGGGTATCAAGGTGAGGTCGACTCGACCGCTGAAGTGTGCCGCATTGCTAGTATCGATTGTGCTGTACATTTTTGGTGTATCGTAAATATTATTATGCGAGTTGATCTCTACGAATAACTTAAACACTACTAAGTCCTACTTAGCCATATTCTAGTTAAGTAGGTTTAAACCACGTTCGAGGACAGCCAGGCAACAATATTTTCATTATCCCATATACTGACTCTGTTGACTTGATGCATGGTGAAAATATTTTTAAACAAAGAACAAAGTTTAAACCTGAAATATCCTAGTACTGAGGTAGTTGCTTAGTTAGTACCCTCGCGGGTTCACCCTAATGAGTTGGCAAATACCATTATAGGGGCTGGAGACCGGAGATTTAAGTACCTGCTTATAATCTTAGAGTCGACAACGTCTGTGGTATAACCAGTAGCAGTACAAGAGCAAAAAAAAAATAACTTGGTATTAAGCAAAGGATAATTAATGTTAAGAAACGTCATTACTAATATTTATGGAAAACTACAAATAGCTATAGAGATTACTGCTACTGTGAAACAACTATAGTATTTATACTGACATCAGCTTTGCTGTTCATGTAGGTGAGCTGAAGTCTCCTGTGATCTTGGAAGGCATTTCGAAGAAATTGCCGATCACCATATACAGCGACCCCCAGCTCTTCCCGCTTCGCAGCGATTTCTTTACGAAGCTGACGAATGTCGCGCGAGTACCGCTTCTTTTGCTTCGCCAAGTCGCCTTCATGAATCTTACGATCACGTTCTATAAACAAATACATCACAATGTAAAACTGTTGTTTCCCTGGTGTAATATACTTAGATCAGAATGTATACTATTTTATATTTTAAAATCATGATGGACGAGGATCAGGAGGAGATATGATAGATTATAGAGGATCCAGGAGGCCCATAATACTATATTATAACATAGTTACTATATTATAATTGTATTCTGAAAACAAACAAAAAGACTATACGAACACCTACCTATATCACGTTACGTTTTATACAAGAGTCGACTTGTATATTTTTTTTTTTTATAAATAAGTGAATCGTATTTAATATTCTTTTTACTTTAGAGTTACCGATTCTCCAATCACATATTGTATTGTTAGAAGCATAGACAAAAAGGAACGAAATGTCATCGCGTAGCGGGAAAATATAATCTGTGGTTCGAACAATGAAAAAGTCAAGATGGCGGGAACTCGGAAATTATTGAGACGGTGTATTTGGTGTTGAGGGAATTTTATTCTATTTGAAAGTCAATTTGCCTATTCATGTGTTATTGTTGTTGTTTTTCTTTCCAATTAATAGTTATGGTTTAGCTAGTTCTGAATTTGTAATTTGATTTCGATGTTAACAATATAAGGTGAATTCATGAATTGTAATGGTGGTACTCTTTATTTCTTCTGCCTCCTGAGTTTCTAAAATCCAATGTGGTATAAAACAAATAAGTTACTAATATCAAAGAGTAAGGTGAACTCTATGACAGTTTTTAAGTTTTCTAATAGTATTATATTAGTATGCTTTGACAAAAATAGGGTCAAATTAATCTGTTGCTACGTCGTAACCGTGGCGGTAAAACTCCGGCTACGTTTGCTACGCTGACGTAGCAGATTTGGTCTACCACTCAATTCATGAGATTTTTTTAAATGGGCTTTGCTGTATAATTAGTATAACATATTTATAAAGTTGGCATTTTCTTCTTTATAATATCAATAAAATATACCTATATATTATTTTTTCACCAGCACGTAGCAGTTCAAAGAGTAAATCCTAATAAACGTTCAAATAGTAACATTAATATTACATCCGGCGACATCAATTCTGCCTATCCAGTGCAAGTTCAAGTACATGAGTAAAACATTTTCAGAATTCAGCTATTTTATTTAGAAAATGTCTGAATGTATGTCAAATGCAGCAACGCAGTTAGGTAACGTTTGGGTTTGACGACTGCATTCAATTTCCGCTATATAGTAACACCTTCAGGCTCCGGAAACTCGACTGATACAAATATAAGTAATGTCTCAGCTCCAGATTGCAGAGCAAACGACCAACAAAATTTAATGTTAATAGTCCTATAAATCTACCACTTTACTACTTCCTTACGCAAGTCATGGGAGAGTTAAATATTTTGTGACATTTTCATACTTAGAATGCTTTACATCCACCTAACATAACATAAATACATACAAACATACAATATTTATTCGCCATTTATATTATAAATAAATAAAGTTTGTGTGTTCGTAGGTATAGGAGGTAGGTGTCTTTATTAGTAATGAATAGTCTCGCATTTGGCCACTACCTGTTGTATTAATACTATAGATTTCTAAACAGAGCATTCCTTACATTATGTTTCGTTTATCAGCTAGTAAACTATTAATCTTACAAATAATAGAAAAGATTTGATTGAATTGACCACGAACCTACTGGATCCAGACGTTATCACTATTGCATATTCATAAACTGTTGGACATACTTAAGAATAATCTTCTCAACAAGGAGGCGAAGTTGGAGGCGGAGAGGTAGTGTGTCATGCGTATAGGTAGAGTCTTCACAAAGTATTAATAAAGGAGACTCACCGTATAACTTGATAAGACCCCTGTATTGATTGATTTTGTCCTTGATCACCCAATTATCATCTTGCATCCCATGAATGCGCACCTTCGCAGCAGACAACATCTTGTCAGATAGTAAACCACCTAGGTATCAAAGTAAACAATGTTTAATAATAATAATGTACAATTATTTATAACTAATAAATTATAACAAGGCGAAAGAAATCTTCGTAACGTAGGTAAATAGAAATGTATTTTTTTGACAATAATGACATGACAATAAAAGAGGTCATTTCTTGTTTAAGGTTATAGTTACTTATATCGATACAAAAGAGTCTGTGCAAGCTTTGCTATTTGAAAAAAAAACTACTTTTCCATAGTGTTAGTATTTAAGTATTTAATAACAAGTTTATTGAAAATAATCGTTTCACGAATTCGAATTCTGTTGAGCTTTCACGGTACAGTCATTCAAAGAATTAGGATCATTTCATGGATACTCCTTGACTTGAAATAGAAAAGACATGAATAATGGAAATTTTATTTAGATTTCCCATTAAACTGTATGATGCATATCTTTGAACTAAGCTCTTTTTAGTTTCTCCCCCGATCTCTAGAAAAAACTATATCTACGTATGTTTTTTTTTTTTAAAAAAAAACGTTGCCCCTCACTAGGATTTTCTCCTGTGTCGTGGGTGCGTTTACAAACATACAAATTCACATACACAATGACACCCAGACCCGAAACAACATTTTGTGTAACACACAAAGTGTTGTCCCGTGCGGGAATCGAACCCGCGACACGTTGCACGGCAGCCGGTTACCCAGCCACCGCACCAACCGTGCCGTCAATGTATACATCTACGTCTAAGAGGGAACGTAAAAATGACAATGATAGATTTTTTAACACCCATTTTAGATAGATTTTTTAACCCCGTTTTACCCTGACTGCCTCGTTGGCCGAGTGGTCGCAAAACCAGGCAAGGGTTCTCGGGTTCGATTCCCGGGTCATGCAAAGTATTTTTCAAAAAATCTCAGTAGTAACACGGAGTCCGGAATTTTGTCTGGTATATGGCAAAAGATGCACCTCTATTACATGGGACTTGTAACATAAATAGCGAATAGATGGTGTTACATTGTACAGTGGCATTAAGTCCCGTAATGTGCACCGCTGCTTGCCCCTTCTAGGATAAAAGGCGTGACGTTATGTTATGTAAGACCTTACATACTCTGCTCTCTCTGTATTCAAATATAGAAAAATCTTATCGAATCTCAATCACATTCCTAATTAAGTTAGAGAAGTTTACAATAAACATTGCAAGTTACAATTAGCGACTAGTCTCGCCACTCGCGTGCTAGTTTCCTAACTATTGAGATCAAGATCCAATATCAAGTCACATTAATTCTGCCAGTGCGTCGGAGCCAGCGATGCTAACTGATTGCGATAAGGAAGACGGGCTTGTTAGAGTTATTAGTCCGCAGCTCATGCTAGTTCACTTCTAATTTAATTGCTACTTCAACTCTGAGAAAAGCTGTAGCTAAACTAAGTATCGAGAAACCTTGGGAAGTAATTCATTTTAGATGGCGCTCAATGTCAATTAGCGTTGGCTTGGCTTTAGGGTGCATGCAGACAGCTCCGCCCCGGGAGATGACACCTTTAACTGCACACACTTAACCATATTATTACTGCCTAAATTAATTATCTAACACTTTACGAAATTCTCAGTAGTAGTTTGAACGTCAGATTTTAGAACCCGTAAAGAGAAAACTGTTCGCATTTTTCTAAGATGCCTATATACAGAGATATTGTTCGTATTAGGTAATTGTTTAAGTAATGTAAAATATGATATGAAAGAATCTGAATTAGAAAGAGTCAGTATAGAGATTTTCGCTCGTAGTTAATTGGTTTTATGTACCTATAAATTACAAGGAAAATATATAAAATACTTACCTGTGTATCCGTTGTGACAGTAAACAAAATTGTGTCAGAATTCGGACACTCATGTTACCGACTGGTGCCTACATATGTAGGGATGTAGGTATATAATGTTCCACGGCCTGCCCGTGTCCCAACAGACTTGTTTCACAAAGGGTTTACTTAAGCGACAACAACCAATTGTGGGCTATTGTTGAACATTTTTGTAAACCGTTTAATTTTTGTAAATTCTGCTGTATGTACATATCTGTGGAATCAAAAATTCTTAAATAAGCGGTAAGTAAGTAAAATTAACCTTTTGTTAGGTATGAAAAGGATTTTTTTTTTTATTTGGAATAAAATATATATCACATTGAGAATATGGATAAAGAACATGACTTCATTGTCATGTTCTTTGTCCTGTCGAAAACGGACCTATCTACCGATAATTTTAATCTTTTGATTTAAAATTGGTATTCTTAATAGGCAGCCTTTTTCTACTATCTCTGAGGTTTTCTCTTCTCTTTTGAATTGATACACACTTCACAACAACCACCTATTCAATTCCTTTAACGTTGTATGCATTACCAAATGTGGAACAAGAATAGATTACGGTCTGGCTACACATAGGCTACTTTTTATCCCACAGAAACGTCGGCATAACCGCGGGCAGAAGCTAGTATAGTATCAGGGTCATGAAATAAATTACTAAGTACATCATACATACCACTTTATGAACCAATTAAAATTTCAACAATTTGAATTATTAGTGTATCTCTCCTGTAACTAAAGTAAAGGTTCTTTAATATAGTATTTAAATTATAATGCAGTTTGTATAAAATTTTACCTATTATTATACTTAAAATAATAGAAAAATTTTATACTCACTCTAAGATAGCATAACATAACATCACGCCTTTTATCCCCGAAGGGGTAGGCAGAGGTGCACATTATACCACTGTACAATGTAACACCCACTTTTCACTATTTATGTTATGAGTCCCATGTAATAGGGAGTGAGCCTATTGCCATATACCGGGCCCAGACTCCGTGCTACTACTGAGAATGTTTAAAAAAACCCAGTAATACTTTGCCCGACCCGGGAATCAAACCCGAGACCCCTTGCCCGGCAATCGCACTTAAAACCACTCGGCCAACGGGGCAGTCACTCTAAGATAGATAATATATAATACTCTAAGATAGATAAGATAGATAAATACCTAAATAAAAAACGTAGCACTGTCTTGATTTGTATCGTATTCCTGTTACGATACAGAGTCAAACCACTTGACAATTCGCTTCGTCCAAAGAAGTACCAGTTACTACAATCAAACTCTTAACCCAGTTGACAATCGAGACCCTCTTCAGATGTTGGTCGAGGGCATTAGCCCACAATCATAACAAAGAACTGTTGAAAATAAGCATTCCCTTTACAAACTAATAAGCATACATTTCTTGTATCGATAAATGCGTCTGTCAGGGAATCTTTTAAATATTTTTATAGGTACCTTACCTACCTACTTCAAAAGATTATACACACTTCTCAGACTACACTCGTTTTTACGCGCTGTTATTCCATCTTATAAAACCACTAGTAATATAGAATATTGTTATCCTATATATCCTATATAACATGGTCCCACCATGTTTGTCGGTTGAAAGTAGTTGCATTTCCCTTTACTCGGTAAAAGGTCATGTAGATGCCGGCTATTGACCCGATTAGGAGAACCTTGCCAATGGTGTCAGCTGCCAATGTCAACATTTGCCGATAAGATGTGCTATGTCCGTGGCTAAAAGTCGCGCGTCGGCCCTCTGGCGAGCCCTTAGACGAGCCCCTGCGCCGTTTATGACCTATATTTGAAAAAAAATACTAACATCTCTTTGCCAGAGTCTGTATTTCCTGAAGGGTGTAAACCTGGCAGTCTTCAAGGCCCGAGTGAATAAGTTGCTTATGGGACGACGTGCTCCATCGTAGACCGCATCATCACTTACCACCAGGCGAGAAAGTGGACAAACGTCGCCCCATCAAATATAAAAAAAGGACAAAGGTAAATGTTAAAATGTAACCAAGTCACATTTTTCTTAATACACAAGTTTATAAAAATGATTCAAAGAAAAACAGTCCGTCATTTCTTTCCGTTTATTTTTTTTTTACAATTTCATTCAAGAAAAACCTTACGACAAAATAATTACGCAACAAAAGTTAAACAGTAGTTAGTTAAGTTAAACATATAATTGACGAAGTTCAATATCTGTCTTTAACATCTGGGTCACCAGCTACCGAGCACAACGCCCTATGCATTCGGTCCCCACACTGCGTGCCTTGAGGACAGTTGTTACAAGTAGTTCCTACTTCGTAAATTGGGAAACCATCAATATTTCCTGCGGGGCCATAGTTACAAAAAGTGTAGGCCAAGATTTTAGATTCCTTTCGTTTTTTCCCCTTCATTTCACTTCGTAATATACCACGATGTAAAGGCGATTCTTTTGGATGGTAAATGCGATCTGTGTTAGCATAATCTTCAAATCTCGGAGGTGTCGACGATGTCAGGTACCTTGTACGCCGAAGTAAATTTTGACTAGGCGGAAAGGTTCTCGTCACATTTGACACTGAGTGATGGTACGATTTTGGCCCTGTCCCTCTTTTTTTGCGAAATAAAGCACAAGATGGTTTCCTTGCAGTGCAAAGCGCTTGTGAACAACCAAGACGCCACGTAGAAGCCCAAGCGGCTGCTGAATACCAATGTGCGTTACAGCCACCAGGTGCACTGCAATTACTAAGTCTAAAAGACCACACATGCTCAGGTGGCAACGCTCTCGAGCCCGAGAACCATGCACCCACTGCGTCTGCTAGTAATTGAGCCTCCGTCACCCTGCTTATTACAGCCCGCACGTCCATATTTTGTAAAACATTAAATCTGATGGTATTCCTGCACTCATCGTGTCGCTTCTGACACTGACGAGCCCAAACCTCCGCCATATGTTCGAGTTCATAATCCCAGTACATTTTCCGCATGTTAGTAGCAGGAGGCTGTCCAGGCTCTAAACCCATAGCAATGTTGTCTCTATGCCTGTTGTGTAGTAGCAAGATTTGGTATCGCATCCATGCAGTCATGCCTGACGCATAAAGTCTCGAACTTTGCTTATTGGCAGCGACGCACATTGTGTGCTGGTTTTCCATGGAGCAATCGGGATGAGTACAATAATTGACAACTGGCTGGTTGGTTGTGTTGGCACAGAACACATTCCTTAAAATAAAGCTACTACAAAACAAATAAATAATATTCATATCGAAATGAAAATCTATTATTATAAAATATTATGAAAAAGAGCGTGAAAATTATAAAAGAATTCGAACGACGTTATTCATACTAGCAGAATCACTGACATTAGTTGACAGCGAAAGAGTATAATAAGTCTATGGGAATTGACAGCTTTACTATAGCCATAGCAAGGAGAGTAAGCCACGCATTACCCATGTGGCATTACCGCACTTATATATCTATGCATTACCGCTATACTTATTATACTCTTTGATAAATGTGTCCTTGTAACCATAACCAGTAATTGTTACATGGTTGTTTTCCTTACCCTTACTTTCTTACAAATTATTCATGATACTTTAATTTCACCCTTGAGCGTTTCTTTAGACGACACTGCTTGATCCTCCCATTATGGCAACCCCTCCACCCTTCACTATGAACGACGACCAAAGCACACGGCCCCGGTCTCCGGCAGGTCCGCTATTTCTGATCTAGGTAGCGAATTGGGTAACGGCAGAACTAGGAATCCGCGGCAGATGAAAAGTGACTCGAGCATTCCACTAGAAATTATACAGTTGTACCGAGGGCATTTGTTATATGATTATAGTTTTTATAGGCCGTTCATAGGCCACAGTAACCACTTACCATCAGGTCGGCCGTACGCTTTTTTGCCACTAGCGTGGCATTAAACAATATAAGTGTAGTTAGTAATAAAGCGTCAAAGATCACTTAAAACAGAATTTTCTGAAACTTCCTTTACGAAATTAGGATGAGTTTACTAATGTACGTGATCAAATTAAAATATTTACATTGAACATCTATACTAATATTATAAAGCTGAAGAGTTTGTTTGTTTGAACGCGCTAATCTCCGAAAGTACTAGTCCGATTTGAAAAATTCTTTCTGTGTTGGATAGCCCATTTATCGAGGAAGGCTATAGGCTATAAAATATCACGCTACGATTAATAGGCGCCGAGTAGCTAGTTTCAATTATAAAGTATATCATAGTTTCTTTACTTAAGTATTTTGGTCACATTGCAAGGAAAACGGGGCATAAGCTATAGAAAAGCGGTTACTAACTGGCAATATGGAAACAGCCCAGAGGCCGATGCCTTTGCTCTGGACCACTGATCGCTGGAAAGACCAAATCAGCGTCACTTTAAATTCAATAATCTGCGATGCTATTCACGCCGCCTAAGACATGACAATAGTCCGTGATAGGGTGATTCGTCGAGGTAATAACCCTCAGCAAACGACGCAAGGAACAGGAACTTTGTAGTGTAATCAATATCATACACCAAAGAATGTGCAAAATATTCATAATTAAAGCAAATTGTAATAGCCCTCTTGAACTTTTACTACTACTACACCTACACTAATACCTATTGGCAATAAAATTCTCAATTTTCTCATTATTCTCGTTCTTAAATACTCATTCTATTTATGTGGCACAATTTTCTTGAACATTTGGTGAGAAATTGGCAACTTCGATGTGATCTATCATTTGTCAATTATTACATTTTGCTTTTCTGGTTACTTTTGTAATATTTTATTCTTTATTAATTATATAATTATATAAAAGGTTGACCTTACAATCGTTTCGAGTTCTTTATAATCAAGTTTATGAAAATAACACCATGACTTTTAAATTGGTACAAATGGTTTTACGAGGATTCCTGTTGATATTGATGACTTTGGGCTTGTTTTACAGCTCGGAAACTCCGAACTTAACTTCGTTAAACCATTTTTTAATGACTGGTATATATGGCAGTTACGTTGTTGTTACATTAGGACTTATGATGGAAGCCGGCCTAGGATTGTACAGTGATATTTTTATAGAGAGCACGTTCATTATACTTGCAATATTTTTCAATTCCATGGCCTCTGGTCTATCGTTCTACGAATATTATACAGAAATTTTACCAACCACTGAAACCATGAATAAGGGGTTTGTCTCTTTAGTAAGCGTTTTTATTTGTCTAAGTGATTTGTTTCTTTTGCATTGTATTTCATGATTAAATATATTCAATATATTGCAACAAAACTTTGTCCTTTCTCAAAAAAGTAACTAACTAGACAAGTTGCGGAGCAAATGTAGGTAGGTCAATATTTAATATAATAACTTTATTATTTGTTATTAGATAATCATTATTATGTAAGTTTTTACCTATAGAGCAAAATGTCCTATTTATGTCAATCTGCAATAAATACTTTACATATTTATTTAGATGATCAACGAACTGAAGAAAACGGTTTTGAAAATAGTGTAGGTCTAGGTTAGGTACCTACTATATACCATTCGAACACAGATTTAGATAGAGAGAGTGAACCGCAGGAGACAGATAAATGTGGGAGAGCCATACCTACTTCGGTAGGTACGAATGGGCCGGCTCGACCGGAGTGATACCACGGCCCCACACAAATTCCACGTGAAACAACGCTTGCGTGGTGTTTCGTCGTGTGAGTGAGGTTACCAGAGCCCCAATTACCCTCTGATCGTTTACCAGCCTACACCATAAAAAAGACAGGAGACAAAGATTATGCTATCGTGAAATTTTTTGATGCATCCCCATCATATAGATGGTTGGCAGGCCACAACTGTGCGCTTCTCACGTAGCCTTCTGCCTCGCACAGCAGAACTGTGGAATGATCTGTCGTCAGCGGTATTTCCAAACCGATACGAGCTTCAAACCTTCAAGTAAAGAGCGTACTCCTTTTTAAAAGGCCGGCAACGCACCTGTTACTTCTCTGGTGTTGCGGGTGTCCATGGGCGGCGTTGATCGCTTACCATCAGGTGATCCGTCTGCTCGTTTGCCTCCTATTCCATAAAAAAATGCTTTATACGTACCTACCTATATACAAGGGGAGTTACACCAATTTGGTTAAGAGATTTCATAACTAGGGAAAATTTTATAAGTAGGTAATACATTATTTCCCTTTGTGTGAACAGTCCAAAGAGTATAATAATAAGTAGGAACAGTCGGCGTCTGCTTAACTGCCATTGCAGTCAGGAGTTACAGCACGAGAAATTCGCCTAAAAAAGTATTTAAATTTTTTATCATTTGTCAAATTTTTATGAGGTAGTTGGTTAGATAGTTCTTAACAAAAAAAATGGTTTGTCGATTTTTGCACGTTGTTACCTATACATCCGTCAGTCACGCAGATAAAGATAGCGTTTTTATAAAAGTTAAAATTTATCTTATTATACACATCTGGTGAAAGTAGTTTCATAATAATTATGATAGTAGAATAAATAAAAATAAGCAGTTGCAAGTGTAGGTAATATTGGGTACCCAATATTGGGCGCGTGAAATGTACACTACATTATTTTCAAGGTTCTAAGTCATTTCGGCTAAAAATATGACGATCTTTATTGGCACATTTTCTTTATTTCACACATTTGGCTGACAGAATTTTTTAAACATACTTCTAACGCCATCTATTGAATACAAGTGTAAACTTTTATGTGTCATTTAAGTACTTTTTATTCAGTAAATTTTAGGACATGCTGTGGGAGGTGATTTGTGATCAATACCTAATACCTACCTAAAAATCCAATATAATATTTTTATGTTCAGCGACATTGTACGGTTTCAAAGTTGTACCAAATATTCATGTAAACATTACTTTGACTGGAGCACTAAAATGGTTTAGTATCCTTTACACTTCTGCCTACCCTCATGGGAGACAGGCGTGATATTATTTTGTATGTACGTATTGGTCTTTTTACATAATATATACACTATTTATCCCTTCAAAGTTTTATTCCACTAGAATGCTGGCGAAGTCGCTGGCAGATCCTATAAAAATATGGCAAAAGTTGATATACCTAATAAATGAAAAATGAAACATAAAACCAGCAAAACCTTGGATTAGAAAGTAATATAATAAATTTTGTGACCCTTCTTCACACAAATGGGTCCGAAAAGCCCCGTATTCAAGACTTAAAAACAAGCAGTTCAAGAGGCAGATTGACTTGGCACTTTAGCCGTGAATGACAGATGGATGACTGACTGGTAGTGTGACAGTCTGACACTAGTTTACTTGACGTCTGAGACTAAACAAGTTTTATAATTATTTTAGGTATCTTGTGATTTCGTTATTAATTAACTACATGGTATCAAAATGAGTTTACACAAAGCAAGGTAATAGCAATTACAAATAAAAAAATAACAGTTTCAGTTGTAAATAAGAACATAAAAAATATGTCCATTATCATTCTCCCCAGTTTTTATTGACACGTAAAAAAGGCGTATTTATGTAGGTACTTGAAATCTTTATAATTTACAGTATTTACATATTTCTCAGATGTATAGTAATTCTTTCGAATAATTATATAAATGTTCACTATAAATTATTAAGTAACTGGTATCATAGTCAAAAAATTAAAGAAAACTTTTAAAATATACATAATTAAGTGATAAATAGGTACTTATTCATTCGTTTTAGGAGAAAGTGAAAGTAGTAACAATAATATTAAGGCTTTCTGAATAAGCTAAATACTAAATCAGGTTTAAAAAAAAATCAACCATAGTGTTATCTGTAGCACTAACTTATTGATTGCATTTCCTTTCATAAAGACATTAAAGTGCATACAATTAGTGTCCTTGGATGATTGATTACTTTTACAATTTAGTGAAGTTTACTGCTTCTTCAAAATGTTTCATGGGTAAGATACAATTTTCTTAAAGCAGAAAATACTTAACATTACCATCAAAAAAGTAAATGATAAAAATTATATGCAGTTAAATCAATCACTAAATAAAATAAATTTCTTTGAAAGTAATAAGTATGTATTAAAAATATTCAAATAAGCAGTGTTTTTATCATAATTCACAAAACCTAAGTGCAAAGTAAATAGTCACCTTTTTTGTGAACAAAGTACCATTGACCTATGACCACTCCCTGCTAGTGGCTATCCACCAGCCATCAGCTGCCTTCTGAGTACTAGTTTCCTCATATTTATTTTCCTTCCATCCTTGGTTATTGTCTTTTTTCTCTATTATAATTAAATAATTGTGTTTCTAAAAAAATTATTGTTTGTTCCAAAAGGAAGATACAATTTTTTTCACATAATACTTTGTGATATGAATCAAGAGAAGTTCTTATTATGTCCCTTGTGTTGAACAAGGGATCTTACGGCCAATACCCAAAAGAATGCCTTCAAGTAAAATGAAATGATATTTATTTTGTAGCTAATACAGATTTTACACATCAATCTTTAAAAGTAATTTGATGTGGATTTATGTGATTAAGTGGATTTTCAAGTCACTTTATTGAATATACAGTTAATTAATTTAAATAACTATATCATATAAATGTGTATAAACACCACAGTGACGATTTCTACTGGTGTCATCATTTCATATGATTACTATCCCCTCTCTTCTGCTACTATTACTGTTTTCGTATTTGCAGACCTAAAAATTACAGTTCAAAATCTTATTTCTACTAGTTACTATAAAGTTCATTATCATTGAGTTTAAAACACTACACAGTGACTTTATATGAACTACTAGGTATTTCATTCTAAACATAAACAAATTAATAAACTAGTGACATTAATTGCTGCAACTATCAAAACTATCAGAGTAATATCATGAAATAATTAAATAATGCAACAGAATAACAGAACAATAAATTTTTTCAATCTATAACACTATCTACAACTCAAGAACGGCTTAATCGATTTAGCTGAACCTTCATGGGAAGGAACCTAGAACCCAGAAATGGGCATAAGATACTCTTTATCCAAGAATATCCCGAAAAGCCTATGGGATCAGGAAAAAACAGGATTGTGCATACAAAGACGCGGGCAGAAGCCGGATTTCTCACCTGGATAGTGATATAACTATAGAATTTTGGTGTCATAAATAAGTTTAATGCCTGGTTACTTGATAAACTGCTGAACAAAACTTAAGTTAGTAAATCTATAATTTCAGAATAAAGGCGTTTGAAGAAGTTTTGGAAGAAGATGTGGTTGATATTGAGAAGTTGAGAAAATTAGCGTTTAATGGTAAGTATTCACAATAATAGTATAATGTGGCTCTGGCTAATGTTGAACATTACTTTGAAAGTATTTTCCTCATGAAATTCAGTTTCAAAAGGTATTGACCATAAAGAAAATATTTTATTTGTGCTTAATTAAATATCTACACTAACTACATTACAGACCTTATTTCCAATGTTTAGAGACTACTTTTGTTTGACCTAATTTAGGGGATGATTTTCAACAATTTTCAATAGGTTAATTGAAAAAAGTGCTTTCATATTTGAAGTGTTTGTTTCTATAAACAATTCTTTGTGTGATCCACAAATTGCTATTCCTGTTTACGCTAAGTGTGTTGTGTTTGTGAAATTGTACACACATGTATACACTATAATTATATATTGCGCTGCAACGCACCATAGGCTTTTTTGTGTGTTCCTAAATTTTTGTTTTGTGTTGCAGCAAAATAAATGGTTTTTCTTTCTTTTTATACAACACACCCAAGATATAGAGAGCAATCTTAAAAATATTTTTGTTTGAAGATATTTTTAAATTGAAATAAAATATGTTTGCCCTTTCATTGTGAAGTACTTAATACCTAGGTGTGTTTGTAGACACGTAATTTTATAATTATTTTACCTCTTATTGTTCACTCTCATGAACATAACAGTCTGGAGCCAAGTCATGGAGGTATTTAGATAATTTAAATATAAATAAAATGTACCATTAGCAGCACTTATCACTTTATGCAGTATGGAGTGTACCTACATTCCATGGAGCAGTTATGGTAGAAAAATATTAGCATACTTAATTATGGATAGTATACTCTTTAATACAGACTATTCTGTAGACTAGCTAGGAGAGCTAAACTTCACCCTCTTGGAAATGTGCATTTTAATAGTAAAAAAAATTTCTAGTATAAATAATTATGTTATACTTATGGTAATTAGACTCTCCAAAATTTTAAAAAGGTGTGCAAGTTTTATTTTCAAAGCTGTGTTGTTGAGTCTTAAAAGTGGTACATTTTGACTGATGTGCAGTAATGGGGTTTGTTCCTCTAGCTGGAATTTAAGCTATGATAGCGCAGCTTTAATACCAATGTTTTAAGGTAGGTACATGCCTTAAAACCCCATTAATATAGGTATTTCACAAGAGAATGGCTAAAAAGGCCAAGCAGATGAGGATGAGGTATACTCATAAGTATTATGTGTTTTACACAGACCTATTGAAGTATGAATATTTCTCTTTGTTTGTCTTGATTATTAGGTAGGGATGTGTGTAGTATGCAAAATATTATCAGAATTGACAAACATTTTATGTGTCCTAGGTATTCCTGATGAAAAAGGCCTAAGATCCTTGGTATGGAAAATATTGCTGCTCTACTTGCCCCACCAAAAAAGTACTTGGAAAACGACTCTTAATGAGAAAAGGCAAAATTACAAACATTATATTGGCAAGTATTATAGTCATACACATTAACTAATAACAAAGTACCTAATTCTTTGGAAATAGTCCAAATTAACAACTACCCAGTGTAATCATTGTTATAATTTACTCATTTCCAGATGAAATAATAGTGTCCCCGGGAGGTCCCACTGACCACCCTCTGAACATCAGTCCTGATAGTTCCTGGAGCACTTACTTCAAGGACAATGAAGTTCTGTTACAGATTGACAAAGATGTCCGTCGGCTATGCCCTGATATATCTTTTTTTCAATCTGCCACAGAATTTCCATGCGAGGAAGTAAGTACCCAATAATATTTTCTTTATTCTATGAAGAGTTATATCATCTCTCACTTACATTGACCATTCCTTCTTTATTTACAGATAGTAAACAGCAATGGTGTGAAGAGATTGCATAAAAGAGTGGAGCAGTCGGTCCTGAAGTTTTCAACTTTAGAAAGACGGGGGCTAGGTGTAGCCAAGGTAAGTGAAATGGTGACAACATAGCTTGTATAGATATGTGACATTTTACAAGGTGCATGTGCTAACAATAATATTATATTGCGACATATACAAACAAACGTGTTACAGTAAAGGTCAAGGCAGTATATTAATATTATCATTATAATGTAACATTTGTGTAAAAATATTGACAATGACATCTTGTCTATTTATTGTTTCAGTTGAGCAATGAAATCCGGCGCTCAGACAGCGCCCACAGCGGAGACTACGCACCGCTGAACGAGGGCTGTGAGGCGCACTGGGAGGTAGTGGAACGAATGCTGTTCCTGTATGCCAAGCTGAATCCCGGCCAGGGCTACGTGCAAGGAATGAACGAAATTATCGGCCCTATTTACCATACATTTGCTATTGACCCTGATAAGGAATTTAGAAGTATGTATCATATTGCAATAACACACTGGTTCGTGTTCCGTGTTCCAAAAACTTACATGTTTTTCTTTACTAACAGAACATGCTGAGGCTGATTGCTTCTTTTGCTTCACCAATTTGATGGCGGAGATACGTGACTTCTTCATACGCACCCTGGACGAGTCTGCCAGCGGCATCAACTATGTAATGGGCAGGCTCAGTGATTGCTTAAAGAAGACTGATCCTGCTGTTTGGAACTTGTTGGAGATACAAGAACTGAGACCCCAATATTATAGTTTTAGGTAATGATAAGACAGTTTTAAAAAATGCAGTAACGATAAGACAGATGTCTTATCGTTACTGCATTTTTAATACATCTGTCGAGTCCCCTTTTTTCGAGAAACAAAAACATGTTGTTATCACGATGATAAATATTTTACAGGTGGTTGACACTATTACTCTCTCAAGAATTCTCACTACCAGATGTTGAACGGATTTGGGACTCCATGTTTGCTGATGCGAAGAGATTTGACTTCCTAATTCATATCTGCTGTGCCATGATTTTGTAAGTACCTTATTTTGCATCTAAAATATTTTTGTCTGGGCATGAATCTATATACAACGCAAGCTCTCCAAGTGTTCGCCCACTTACAACTTAGGACTCCCTCGAGTAAGCCCTGATTCTAAAGGAAAGAGAACTTACAAATTACTCCCTGAAATTTCTTGTCATTATGAGTTGTTCAAATCGATCCATTACTTTCACATCAGAGAAACGATTGACAAAAATAGTTTTTTTTTATCTATTAGTATTTATAAAACAATATATAAGACATGTCTATTAACATCAATGTATCAATGCTGATATTGTTTTGCACTAAAAGACGAAGTTATATAGTAACCAGTTTTGTGAATTATATTTTTTCATTTCAACAGGTTGGTTAGAAAGGACTTGCTCAGCGGAGATTTTGCGTCCAATGTGAAATTACTTCAAAACTTCCCTCCGATGGATGTATCTCTGATCTTAAACAAAGCTGTAGAAATATCAAACATTCGATAAATTACATTCTTTTAGTTATTTCCTATTAACTTTTGATATCTCAACATTTTAATCTAGAATATACATATTATGCATTTACATCTTTGGCGTTCTTATTGTTAAAAAGACATTTGGATGTACCTTTTGGATCTATCGAATATTTTTTTATTTATTGTGTATAATGTTTATAATAAGGCCTACTGTTCGTTGTAAACCAATTTACTCCCGAATTACTATCAATCAATTACTAGAATAAGTACAATATTATTTATGTAGTTTTAATTATATACAATGCTTTGCAATGAGATGTAAACAGTTATAAATCTTAGTATTGGGCGTCAGAATAGTTGGACGAGAGGTGGAGATGGGTGATGCTGACATTTTATTGGTCTCGAAAATGCATTTACGTACAGATTTTTAATCTCATTGCAAAACTTATTTCAATAGTTTTTTAAATTGTTTGCCATAATTGTAGTTACCCCATCTACTTGCAGTTTTTACTGTATATTATATAATTGTACGTCAATTCCGTATTTCTGATGTATCTTTTCATTAGACATGTAAACATGTTTGTCCTGTTTTTGTCCTAAATGGTGATCATCAAACTGTTTGAAAATAAAAAACAAACCCAATGTAAGGTTTAAGATTAATGTAGTCTAAGACAATACGCGACAGGACAAACGTATGCCTGTATACTATGCAAGAGCTCATGATGGAAGTCCAATGTAGCGCACGTATTTTATTCTGATTCTCTGATCCTGTACGTTCACGGCAAACCTCTTGCTGATGTGCTGTATATGTGACAAACAAAGGACAATCAGACTCATGTCTTTTATCATGTAATATTTATAAAACCTTGTCTAACTCTTAAATATACAAACAATATTATGTCAGTTTAATCAATCAATTTTTATCGAATAGATACTACATATTGTTATAGAAGTAATCTTAATAAATGTAGTTCATTATTGAATTATGGAAACTTTCAGTAACTTCCAAGCGAGCTCTACATGTTACGTATACGGACTTTTATGTGTATATTGTCATAATAAGGTTGATAATTCAGACTCCTCAATTAAAATTACAACTTCAACGTTACGTATGTACTGATAATGACTTATAGGTGTAATGCAAAATTGAGTCTGTGTTTCATGTTATGTATATTAATGGTCGTAGTTAAGTATTTTTATGTATGTAGGCATAGATTTTAGAGACGTAGATATAATATAACCATTCTGATAATAAAATATATACGTATAATCATGTATATTTAAGTAAAAGTTCGTAGGTACTGTTTAATTACAACCATTGTTAAAAACTGATGTTACTGTGCAGTCGTTTTGTGGTTTTTTCGGTCATCTTTTCGTACGTTTTAATACGTTCTCCAGATTGTTAATATTAGAGTGAATAAATTCACTGTTTACTAGATTTGTCACTACTCCATTCTCTTCTTGGACAATCTAGACATGGACTGCTTCCCTCTCTCGATAATGGATGTAGTATACATTATCAATATTAATTTCACCACCAACTTTCTCATTTTATCGAGTAAATCCAGTGTCAATAGACACAAAGTATGTATCTAAAACATATCTAAATAAATAAATTGTGTAACCGTATCCACAAATATTTAGCATTTATAGTGTATTGTATCGTGAAAGGATTGCATTTTTATGATCCGGTTGTTAATCATAATATTGTAGCTGTTTGTGTATACTTGCTAAATTGCAATTAATCGTAGTGAGGGAGGCCAGGATACTATAGAAAGGAACTACTTGATATTCTCCTCATATTTATGTTTATCTGTCGCGTTCGAGTAACTATCGGAATATCTGGGGCCTCCCCCTCGTTATTACATTTTTCATGTTATTGAGTACCAAGACCTATACGTACCTGCCTAAATTAAACAAATTATGTTCATATTGTAAGCAGAAAAGTAAGTGTTAATAAATAATTTACCACAGTCGCGCAAATATAATGCTGCGACGTACATTTCGACTTTGAACTGCGATTCCACATAATAAAAATGATATTGTCGTATTTTATCCTTCTAGAACGATGTTTTAACATCAAAATTATGAAGTTACCTTTACAATGCGACGTGACAACGTGCAACTACAACCATGACACCCCATCTCTGTGGTGGAACAGTAATTGTACTTCTGATGTTAATGTGTTATATCAATTTTGGAAATTAAATGGGCAAAATACATAAAAATATATTTGGCATTTCATTAAGCGTCCTCCACCCTGATCCCCACTACCAGTTGAGCATAATATGAATAAAAAAACATCAATTCGCCTTTAAAGATTTAATATAAATAATTACATGTAATCAATTTGTACATATCCATTGACAATAATAGAAAGTAAAGATTTTATACAAATATAATGTCATTTTAGGTCTGTATCATAAATAACGGCTAAGTCACATATTAAAATGTTGGAAAATAAGAACATGCGTTACATTTTTATACTTTATATAATAAATTGTTTTATTTATTCGCATAAAGAGAATATTTATATAATAAATTTTGTTGGTCGCCGCCCGGAATATTTTTTGATATTATATAGAACCTTAATGCCAGTATTTTACATATAAATAAAAAACTTTATTAAGGAACATATTTTCACCAATTGGAATCTTAAAGGGTGTTGAAATAGGTATTTTTAATTTAATTTCTAATACATACATATAATTACACGAAGTGGTAAAGGAGTCATAACATTATTAGATATTACTTACTATATAATACTGCTTTTGGACACACAATCAATACATATTCGAAGTATCACGTATTTTTTACTTTAATTTACACAAATCGATTGAAATGACTGTACAGTGGCCAGCAGGATAATATATTTGTCAAATTCTAAAAAGGAATTATAATTATAGTTTTTATATAAAGTCGAAAATCCAATAAAAATTGACTGATTGGAGAAAGTCGACGTGCCTTTATAGACACGCTAATGATTTGTTCAAAATTATTAATTAATAATTAAATAACGTAATTATGTGACCTTTTTAAACGAACAAAAATTACAACTGTCCAAGTTTGTCAGTTAATTGTATGTCGTAGATATTCAGTGAAACCAAAATAAAAACAGCATTCAACGGTCCCTACAATGTTATCACTCCCCTACTTTTTAAAATACAGGAATTATTATGAACATAATTTTGTGCCCGAATAAACGCACTTAAAAGTATGACGTAATAAAAATAAAAAATAACAAGATGTTAACAAGCACTTACAGAAATATGAGATTTAAAAATTTTGAAGCTAATTAGGAAAGCCTCCTCATTTTAAATAACAACTGTTATGGAAATCTCGTCAGTAAATTCTAGAATGAGATGAACCACCTGCAGCTTGGCGATGTAGGAAATAGTAAGTCATCTAACATTCTAGTGCATACAGATATATAATTTATCTTAAGCCCAATAATTTACATTTTGATCGGACGTGTATTTTGTTGAGTTAAATAGTTAAGATTTTGTTCTCACTAGATGGGTACAAAATGTAACGGCTGCGATGCCGATATTACTGATAAGGTGTATATGGAGTGTTCCCAAGGAAAATGCAAGAAGCCTTACCATCTTAAATGTTTGGCAGTGACCACGGAGAAGTATGAAACATTTACACAAGACTATAAAAAAAAGTGGATGTGTCCAGTATGTGTAAGTGCTATTCCAAAACGAGGGAATTCCGACACCCCTGTTCGAGGAAGTACTGTGGAAAAAACCTTGGCGGCTGGGGCGAGTGACGGCAAAGTAAATACTCAGCGCAGTTGTCGTCGCAACCAGAAGGAAGCGGAAACGAAATCGGTTCTTGGACATGATAACACACCAAGTGAAGTACTACAGGAGTTTCGATTAGAAATATTAGCGAGACTGGATGAGCAAATTCGACAATATGCATTACTTCAAGATAGATTTATCAAAACCGAAAATGAATTGAAAGACTTACGAAAAGTTATGGAGGTAGTTCAAAAGAAAGCGAGTAAAGTAGACCAGTTAGAAACAAAAGTAAATGATTTGTTAAAGTCAAATGAACTTCTGCGAGCTTGTCTTCAGAGAGTGATTCTGATTTTCAGAGACTGTCGTATGGCATTAGCGAGACCGCTGCTGTATATCTACAATCTTTGCCTCAAAACATCAGAGTTTCCAGAGATGTGGAAGATTACCCGAGTCATACCGGTGCCGAAGGGAGGTTCGGGAACTAAAGTTGAAGAATACAGACCGGTTGCAATATTGTCAACTATGGCTAAAGTGTTGGAGTCAAGTATTTATGCGAATGTTTATCGGCAAGTTAGCGTGCAACTCACAGATGCGCAGCATGGTTTTCGGCCAACTAGAAATACCACCAGCAACCTACTTTGTTACATGGCAGATGTGGTACCAACAGTGGACAGTGGGGGGCAAATCGATGCTGCATATTTTGATTTTAAAAAAGCGTTCGATTTGGTTGATAACGACGTCTTACTTAAAAAATTAGCTGCGGTCGGTTTCACTCCACACTTGCTTAAGTTTATTGCGAGTTATATGAGTGGCAGGCAGCAGTATGTTGACTACGCAGGGCATCAATCGAACACTTACTACACTAGGTCGGGAGTAAGTCAAGGAACAAATCTAGGGCCCCTAGAGTTTTTACTAATGGTTAATGATTTGCCGAACGTTGTTCAGGATGCTAAGTGCTTACTGTTTGCTGACGACCTTAAGCTTTACCTCCCCATCACAAACGTAAATGACTGTGAAAAGCTGCAAAGCGATATAGACCGAGTAGTTGCTTGGAGTCAATGTAATCTCCTGCATTTTAACACGTCTAAGTGTGCGACCATAAGTTTCTCACGCGCACACTCACCCGTCACACATACTTATACGGTGGATGGGGTACCGCTGAATAGGGTCATGGAGATTAAAGACTTAGGAGTTCGTTTTACCTCTGGGCTCACGTTTCGTAATCATATAGTCGAGGTATGCAAGAAAGCATATCGAAATCTAGGGTTTGTACTTAGAATGGTTA